CCTGGGCGATGAGTCTAGACTACTTAGCCATAATTTTGAGACATGTAATTTTATTTGTAATCTATATTTAAGCCTTATATTGAGTAACACTTATATAAATATTATTACAAAATAATTATGTATGCATACACTCATGATTGTATAATGATGTCTCAAAGTCCTCTCTTTTTACTAACACCATGAGCTTTTATTTATTTATATTTTTTTGGTAATTTTAAGGAATAAGTCTCGAACCTTTCTAAAATGCAAAAAATTTATATATGGGTAAAACATATTAGATGTCATGGATTTTTTCCAAAAAGAGGTCATGACATCATCATAGTAAGATAGGAAAATTATCATTCACTATAGTGGCATTCAAAGCCCTATGGCCTGTACAAAAACTCCGTGTGCCATCCTTCTTCACCAAGACTATAGGAGAAGAAAAAGAACTTGTGCTAGGCACTTATTCCCTTCCTACAACATGACTTGTATCATGGTTTTAATTTGTAGTTTCTAGTTATAAAGATACCTGTAAGGTTTGACCTTAATAAGACCAAAACCTTGGATCAACAAGATAGCGTAATTGTGAGCTCTCTGAGGAGGTAATCCAAAAGACACAGAGAAAACCTCTTTGTAAGTGTGCAATAGAATGGCCAATTTAGATTCCATGTTGATGTGAAGATCTAACAATGGTCCTAAGGTGAATATGATTGCAGAATTTGTAGGATAATAACACAACTATAGCATGGATATTGTGTATTCTTCTTAAATAAGTAAATTGTGTAAGACTCAGGAGCTTGAATTTCTCACAATGTAAGGTTATAAACTGGTTGTTCCAATAGAATTTTAGGATCATTTTTTTGTAATCATAAATGTAAGGGCTCGGGTAGTCAACCAAGTAACTCTTAGAACCAAATCTGCCAAGTAATAAGCAACAGATACAAGAAATTTCAAGGAATGTCCTTGAATTTTAACCTCAAATTCCTTCACCAATTCTTTGATCACTAAAAAGTTACCATTGTCAACTGTTTATGAGCAAGTGTACTCGTCGGATAATAATAAAAGATGTTTTTGAATTGAGTTTCTAAAATATTGTCCTATAGAAATTGTTTCCAATCATCAAGACTATCATGATTTAATTATTTGGTTTTAAATAGTGCGTGATAAAAATAAAAAGAAAGAAACTATAAGGAAAAGAAAACAACACAACTTTTAACAAGAAATTATTGAAGAGAACCTAGGACTTGTGGTTTCACATTTACACCTCTTTATGTTTATTTTTAATTTAATTCAAATCTTGGTTTCCTTATCATCATCAACCACTCATACTAATACTACTAACATTCAATGGTCATGAGCAATGTTAGTAATATTTTTCATAAACTATTACCCCTAATGGTCATGCAAGGCAAAAAGATGGAAAAAAACATTAAAAAAAATTTATGAGTTTGTTAATTTAAAAACTAATTGAAAGAGAAAAACTTTGATCCACTTAATTTTTATCTTACTTTATCCTATAATTCCATTAACTACATATGGTACAGTCGCGTATAATGTAATTAATTATGAGATGTTAAGAGTCATTAATTTCTAACATTTAAATATAACATCGTTAGAGTAAAACCAATCTAAAAGGAAAATCACAATTGTCATTAAACATAAAAATCATATAAAGGGTACAAAACATTCACCATAATCCTAACTATGAATTTAGTTACTTATAATGAAACAAATAAAGAAAGCAATTGTAAATAATTTCAAATTCGTTTAAAATAAAAAAAATCAAACTAGAGGAATCTTAAGAAAAAAGAGATTATAAAAAAGTTTTTATCCCTAAAAAGTGCTCTTGATCACTTGCTCAAATTCTAGAAAGATATCATATGTCTTTACCAATGATCTTCCATCCAAAACAACTCCACAAGTCATCAAAAGTTGGCTAGGCAAAAGTCTCCAGGTCAAAAAGTGTCATCTTCAAGTGTGTGAACTCCCTTTAAATAGAGTGTAGAATATGATAAAAGATAATGTTTTGTCCTCTAAAATATATGTTTTATTTATAGAGAAATATTTGATATGTTAATTTCAAAATTTTAGGTTTAGAGTCAAATTCCAAATTGTAAATTTGAAATTTAAAATTCGTTGTAGATTCATAAGCATGACCGTGCATAGCCTTCAACACAACTATGTCATAAAGTACTCCTAGACTAATAATGAAGTAAGGTCATGTTTTTTTTATTGTGCATGCTTTTTTCTTTTTTTCTTTTTTTTTTTTATCAAATTTCATCAAATCCGTGCAAAATCCTTATCAAATAAGGGTCAAGCATATAAAAATAAGTCATAAAAATACTCCAAAATATGAACTTATTACCAACCAAAACTTGCAAGCTATGGGGTCAACAAATAATTTTAAACAATGTGTTAGCCTTGACTATAAGAAATTATTTGAACTGTCACTATCTAATAAGATTTAAACTTGCATTTTATTTATAGAGCCTTCATATTTCATGGTGCTAAACTCAAAGGATCCTTTGACAGCGTCATAAGACAAATGGTGATCTAATGAATCTTGATTATCAACATGTTCACTACTATCAAGAATGTGATTGTAATTCACTCGAGTCATCTTCTTTCATATGCAGAATAAGGTGCTTTTTGTTTGGGTACCTATGAGTTGTTGTGAACTTGTCATCACAAGTGTAGGACAATCATATTTTCCTTCATAGCTGCATTTCAGCTAGAGTCATTTTTTTAACATTTGTGGTTTTCAAGTTATTAGTATTGATGGACTAGTTTGGTGAGGAAAAAAATAGGGGTAGAAGGGTTGACTGGATGGATTGACTAATAAATAGACTATTTTGAGTTGTTTTTGTTTTAGGCCAAGGGTTGAAATTATAAGATCATATTTTAGTGGCATATTTCTTTTCATATAACTTGGTTAGGGACACAAATCAAATTAAGGTGGTTAGGACTTAAGCAATGATATTACGATAAATATCAGGCTAAAGACTACCAATAAAGCAATCCAACTTGCTTTTGGAAGAATTCCTTGAACCCTGTTAGCAAGAGTTATAAATTGCACATAATAATCATGTACAGTATGGCATGTGTCAATTTGAATAGTTTCACTCTAAAACACTCATTGAGGGATGATCCAAATTCAAGTTTAAGAGCTCATGTAAAAGCAACCCATGAATAAAAGGAATTAGTGTGAGTTAACATTTGATACCAAAGAGCACCATTTTTGTCTAGATGAATTGTAACAATAGTTAAACAATGTTCATCCAATGTATTATAATAAGTGAAGAATTGTTTAACCGTAAAGATTCATTGAAGGAAATTTAATCTTTAAAACTAAAGAAAATTGAGCGTAACACTCAATTACCTAAAATGGTTAAGGAATGGAGACAACAAAACTTGACTTTAGATTAGAGTTGCTTAAGTAACTCATCAATAGTTGACCTCAAATATTTTAAAACAAATGGTATACTTCTTATCTTGCTTGTCTATAATGTCCAACAATTATTTAATATTGACTAAGAATTCCTTTAGGCGAGTATTTTTTGTTATGAAGAGATGAAAGCATTAATGTAATAATTATAGATTAAATAAAGATTTAATGAAACAATTAATAAGCTCAACTATATACTTGTAGTTGATAAATGTTTCTCACAAAAAGAAGTAAATGTTAATGACATTGTGACAGAATTACATAAAAATAATACAATGAAAACGGAATGGAATGAAGGGGCTAATTTTCCAAAAATAGAAATAACCCCACAAAGAAAGTGATGAAAATGGGATCACTCCTTTCATATATTTTCTCCCCTCTAATCGAAACTTTAATACTACTTATTAAACAAATCATAACCATTCAATCTGGTATTCGTTATTTTGGACATCCAGCTTTTTCTCATTTCCTGATGCAAAAGATCCGCAGTCCCATGTCCATCTCCAAGTATCTTAATTTCTACCTTATTTACCCTTATTCGAACATAAAAGTATAAACTTTCTTTATAATCCTTCACCGTTGATGTAATCAAATTTAGCTTCATTTATTAGTTTTGCAATATTTTTGTGCCATCAACTCCTGTATGCGGAAAAAGTTGTGAATGATTCCGAATGGGTGGTCCCAACCATCTGTACCAATATCACAACACATTTAATTACTTTTGTTATAAATTATAAGAATCACATAACTTAAGACCATACAAAAATTTCTACAACTTTATCATAAGTGAACTAAATTGCATTAGATTCGCTTGTTTTTTCAAAATCAACGGCCCATTTCAAATTACCAAAGTTTTTTTTAATTTATTTAAAATTCCACAACAAACCAGTATGGACCGCCTGTAGTTCAAAATTGACCTGCATGGGATGCATGACTGCATTCAACGTTCGAAAATATTTTCTTTCAGCATAAACTAATCTAAACTTACACTTCACGTGACCCTCGTCACTTTAGGCTGTTCCCTGTCCATGTTATATATAAGTTTTTTCATCTTATCAACTTTCTTTTTTATAAATCACATTTAACAAAAATTATATAAATTAATAAGAAATAAAAATTAACTAAATTTTTATTTTTTAATAAAAATTATAACATTTTTTTATCCTCATTTTAAAATTATTAAACTTAACAATACTATCAACATTTATCTTTATTATTTATCAAAGATAAATTTTAAAAAAACAAATACGTCATAATTATATTGTTTATGCTTAAGTAGGCATTAAAAAACCAATTTTTTAAAGTTTAAAAACACGTGGACCCCGATGAATAATTAAACAACACTCCGCATGCAGAGATGCAGTTAATATGTCAACTGCAATGGATCTTTTTCATGGCAAATCCCACTACAACATGCGGTAAAGTGCATTAGCCGAAAATGAACTTAAAAAAATTACATTAGCCGTTGTGATCGTGAGAACCGCAAGTTGATATTAGTGAAGTTGGCATTTGATGATATTTCCATCAAGTGGATTCATGATGCAATAATAGTTGTTTTGGGAGATGGGTATCAGTGAAGAGATAAATATTTTAAACTATCAGAGGCACACAATACGCAAACCTCTTTCTTAATAACATACGAAATTCAATCTGTACAAGGATATACAAATGAGGTAGATACAATTTACCATCTCAACTTCACCCCCAACCCACATTTAACACGGCTGGATACTTCTAGAAGACATGGGAAGCAAGCACTGCACTGCAACTCTATAAACTAAATTTACCGAATTTATGTGACTAAATGTGAAGGGAACTAGCCTTCATCCAGACAGTAAAATCTGTCTGATGCAATCACTTATCTTAGGTGAGAGTCATATGTGTCAAAAAGGGAGTCTGGAATGATCAAAGGCAACTTATCTATGTACATGAAAAGCCTTCTAAGATTCTCCCTTGTCACTGTCCCCATGTCTACTACGTCCCTACTATCAGTGAATACCCACAGATCACCTGAGTTCACTCTCTTAAGACTGTCGCGGCAAAAGGGGCATGACTGTGATCTTGTCCTCCTGCAAAAACATACACCTTTCAACTAAACAAGGGAACAGATCACAAACATGGAGATACGGTGATTTAGTAACTAAAATTTCATATACTGAGATGTGGGCCAAGAAGATATGAGACCTCAAAATAATACAGCAGGTGTATAACTACCAATTTCAACGAGAATCAGATCACAAGCATGGCGATTTGGTTAGACAACTACACAGAGAAAGTCATGTCAAACAAAGAAATTTTAAAGAGTTTCTGACGAACCATATTAGATCCGGACATTGCAAACAGTTACAGCACATCACTAGACTTAACTTGTTATTTGAAAAGAATAATTATTAAGAGTTTCTCAGCATAACCTAACCAGTTAACAGCATAACAGCTGCCATTAACATAAAGGGCGCAGATTATCAATGCATCGAGATTCAAGAGCCTTAAGAGACAAATCTTTCATGATTCCATTCAGTCGGACGTGTACAAATCACAAGCGAAACAGAGCATTCTATCAAAAACAAATAGGGAATCACCTGCGTGTACAGGGAGCAAGGAGGTTGATAGAGAACACAACCAAAAAAGAGAAAGAAAGTATGGAAGAGATACTCTGATATATGTATATTGCTGTATGAATAAGGAAATGTGAAAGATTGCACTAGCAATAGTAAACGAAGAACAAAAGATAGTAACTCAAGAGAGCACCACGCTCCCCTTCCCAAGCCACAATGGCCGCTAGATCAAAATGAATATTCTCTGCCTTTCCCTGATTCCTTCCTCTCACCAATAACCAACTCCCCTACCTCCCATCTCTAGTGGGCCCCAAAACAACCCACTCAGCCTAACTGACTAGTCCTCCCTTTTTAAACACGTGTCACCCTTTTACCTCTCCTGGAGTATACTTTCCAGGTCTTCTCTCCCTCACGTATCTGCTGCCCGGGTATCTCACTGTTAGCTGGGCTCACGAATGTATGGGCCGTATCACTTGCCACCCCTTGAGGAACAGTCTTGTCCTCAAGACTGAAAGAAGGAAATTGGTTACGCATGACAAAATCTTCCTCCCATGTAGCCTCTTCAGCTGGACGTCCTCTCCATTTAATCAGCCATTGAGCCACAGCAGTCCCATCTTGCAGCTGAGTTCTTCCAGCCAGAACTGTTTCTGGTTCGATACCCTCCTGTATGTCTATTTCAAGACCCAAGGGTAGAGCTGCTTCCACTACTCGATTCTCCACAGCTTTCTTCAACTGAGAAACATGAAAAACTGGATGAACTTTGGACGATGGGGGTAGATCCAGCTGATACGCAACAAGGCCAATGCGTCTGAGGATAGTGAAAGGACCATAAAACCGAGCAGAAAGCTTCTGGTTAATACGCTGAACCACTGAATGTTGCCTGTGTGGTCTGAGTTTTAAGTAAACCTGGTCCCCTTCTTGAAAAGAGACCTCCCTCCTATGTGAATCTGCTTGTTTCTTCATATTCTGCTGGGCTCTAGACAAATGATACTTAAGTTGATTCAAAGCCTCATCCCTCTCGATCAAAGCCTGAGCTACTGCTGCCACTTTGGTCTCACTGGGTGCGAAACTCAGAACCGAGGGCGGTTTCCTACCATAGACCACCTCAAAAGGTGTGGTGCCGATAGAGGAATGCCAGGCAGTATTATAGCACAACTCAGCCCAGGGTAACCAGAATGTCCACCCTTTTGGCTGTTCTCCTGCAAAACAGCGTAAATACGCCTCCACATAGCGATTGGTAACCTCTGTCTGGCCATCCGTTTGAGGATGGTATGAAGAACTCATCCTAAGCTTTGTCCCATATAGTTGGAATAAAGCTGTCCAGAAATGGCTCAGAAATATCGGATCACGATCACTGACTATCGACTTGGGAATCCCATGGAGCCTAACCACTTCCCTTATAAATACTTCAGCTACCCCTTTTGCAGGAAACGGATGCTTCAGGCAAATAAAATGGGCATACTTTGAGAGCCTGTCGACTACTACCAAAATGACATCGAACCCCTTAGACTTAGGTAAGCCAGTTATGAAATCCATGGATAAGTCATCCCACACTACCTCTGGAATCTCCAAAGGTTGCAGCAAGCCAGTTGGCGACAGTGTAGAGTACTTGTAACGTTGACAGATGTCACACTCTTGGACATAGCGCTGGACCTGTATTTTCATTCCCACCCAGTGCAGATTTTCAGCTAATCTGCGATAGGTCCTATAATATCCTGCGTGGCCGCCTTGTGGAGAGCTATGAAATTCATCCAGCAACTTAACAATCCAGGGAGAGTTCGCAGGTATCACCAGTCTTCCTTTATACAATAAAACTCCCTAAGTATAAGAGTACCCAGCCTTAGCATTAGCACCCGACTGTATTGCAGCAATGATCTTTTTGAGATATGGGTCTTCTTGCACCCCTGCTGTCAAATCTTTTCCTTCTACCCACAGTGGAAAAGAATTGATCATCCTCAATTCTACAGGCTCATCGCGACGAGATAGTGCATCAGCCGCTGTGTTCTCCTTTCCGGGTTTATATTTAACGTCAAATTGATACCCCAATAACTTCGTAATCCAGCATTGTTGGTCAGCAGTGGTAATTCTCTGCTGCAATAGAAATTTCAGGCTTCTATGATCAGAATAAACCACGAATTGTCTTCCCAATAAGTATGGACGCCAATGCTGTATGGCTAAGACTAGTGCCATGATCTCCTTCTCATATGTAGACTTGGACAAACTCCTGTCAGCTAGTGCTTTACTAAAATAGGCGATAGGCCTGCGATCTTGCATGAGCACAGCCCCTACTCCCCTGCCCGATGCATCGCACTCTACCTCAAACACCTTGGAAAAGTCTGGTAATGCTAGAACAGGAGCTGATGTAATGAGCTGCTTCAGCTGAACAAAAGCATTTTGTGCTTCCACATTCCAGTGGAATCCCTCTTTCTTTGTCAATGCTGTTAAAGGTTGAGCCACTTTGCCATACCCGCATATGAACTTCCGATAGTATCCCATGAGGCCCAAAAATCCCCTGACTCCCTTGACAGTGACGGGAATTGGCCAGTCTAAGATTGCTTTAATCTTGATGGGATCCATAGCAACTCCAGCTTCTGAAATGATGTGACCTAGGTACTCCACCTCCCTCTGTGCAAAACGGCATTTCTTCGGGTTGACATAGAATCTGTTTTCCTGCAACACTTTCAAAACAGCTCTCAGATGTCACAGATGCGATGCCCAGTCCTTGCTGTATATCAGGATATCATCAAAAAAAATCAACACAAACTGACGAAGCAAAGATCGAAACAGCTCGTTCATGGTGGCCTGGAAGGTAGAGGGAGCGTTGGTGAGGCCAAATGGCATCACTAGGTATTCGTAGTGACCACTGTGAGTCCGAAAAGCAGTCTTCTCTATATCTGCTTCGCGCATACGAATTTGGTGATAGCCGGATTTAAGGTCCAGCTTGGTGAAGTAGGTAGCTCCATGCAATTCGTCCAGCAACTCTTCCACTACTGGGATGGGAAACTTTTCGGGGATCGTTACCTTGTTGAGAGCTCTATAGTCGACACACATACGCCATGTATTATCTTTTTTCCTCACCAATAACACAGGGCTGGAATAAGCACTCGTACTGGGTCTAATGAGTCCTAGTTGCAACATTTCTCGCACCTGCCGCTCAATTTCGTTCTTCTGAAAATGCGGATACCTGTATTGCCTCACTGATACAGGACCCTGTCTAGGCAGCAAATTAATCCCATGATCACACGGTCTTGTAGGAGGTAGCCCCGTAGACTCTTGAAATACCACTGCCATTGAGGACATTAAGCCCTGCAGTTGTCGCTGTTGTTGTAAAGACAGGATCTGATCCTCCTTATTTTCTTGTTCTCCCCTCGCAGCAAAACAAAAGGACTGAGCACTATCCGGATAAAAACTGCGAACCAAATTATGTAGAGAAGAAACCACCTGACCTGGCCGTGCTGCTCCCTGTAGAGTGAATTCTTGTCCCGAACTCTGGAATCTCATGGTCATTGTCTGCCAGTTGGTCCTCACTTCTCCCAGAGTGCGAAGCCAGGCCACTCCTAAAATGAGATCCAACCCACCTATGTCCAATACATGAGCATCTATCAAACAACCATAGTTCCCAATGTTCACCGGAAATTGTCTACACACTCCTGGGGATATGACTCGATACCCATCGCCCAGCTTGATGCTCATTCGTTTAGCCTCCTGAATTAATAGACCCAATGACTCCACTAGTTTGGGGGAGATGAAGTTGTGGGTCGCACCACTATCCAACAAAATCAGAATAGGGATGCCATCGACTTGTCCCTCCACCTTCATTGAAGATAACTCCTCTGCACTCTGCCCCTGTGTCTGAAAAATTTCAGCCGTGCCCCAATATTCTAGTCTTTTACACTCCCCTTCCTCTTGACCACTCCCCGCTTCTGTCTCCTCTTCTTCGACCACTAACACTTCACCTTCTTCATTAACTGTCTCATCCTCCCCCAAGAGGATGACCCTCATTTTTGGTTCAGCACACTTGTGAAGAGGGCTATATGGTAACCCACAGCGGAAACACAATCCCTTCCTCCTCCTTTCGTCCCACTCTTGAGATGTCAGATGGCGGACTCCCCTCGTGCCCGGACCTGGGGCCTTGGACGTTTCTGGGCTTGCTCCCCCTGTAGGCGGACCACCCGATCTCCTGTCCTGCCTCGGCGAAACACTAGCATCTGGAGGACTTCGATTCCAGGCCTGATGCTGAGAGTTGGGTCGGGAAGTTTGAAACGGTGTTCCCGTAAACCCTCGCTGCCCTCCAAGCCTACTGGGTGGGCCTCCGCCTCTCTTTAGGGCTATCTCAATATTGCGGGCCACACGCATGGCCTGAAGACGCGTCTCTGGGTTCTGGACTCGAACCCAATTCCTAATATCCTCCTTAAGCCCATTAAGGAAGTAGCCCACGTACTGTTGCTCGGGCTGGCGAGGAACCAACGAAGCCAAGTACTCAAACTCTTCCACAAACTCCTAGACCGTTCCTTTCTGCCGTAATGCTGCCAATTCTTCATACGGGTTCTGCAATTCGAGCCCACTAAACCTCTCCAATAATTCCTCTTTGAACGTGGTCCAATTCAGCCCCGAGTGTATCTCCATTAGTATAGTGAACCAATGGATCGCGGTTCCGCTCATGCTCACCTGAGCCAAAGGTAATTTCGATTCCTCGGGAGTCTGATGCACGCAAAAATAGAGCTCAGCTCGAATCAGCCATCCCCTCGGGTCGGTGCCGTCAAACACCGGTAACTCCACGCGCCTGGCCACTGTGAACAGGTTGTCTAGAGTCCCTGCAAGGTTGTCCATAGTGAGAGTGTCTCTGGTCGACCGTTCCTTCTCTCTGTCCCTCTCTGTGCGGTTTTCCGATTCAGCGGTCACAAGTGATTCTGGCGACTCTTCGTTCTACGGCATCTTCTCCAGTCTCCGTACCAAACTCGCAATGTATTTGCGGAACTCAGCCTGCTCCTTCATCTCTTGCTCCAGGCGTTGTTGTCCCTGGTTGACGACGTTCGCTGCTGCCGACAACTCCGACAACGTCCTTTCTACCACCCCCAAACGCTGGTCCATCGCCTCCAACCTAGCTTGATTTCGCGTTTCCATCTCCTCCGTCACGTTTATATCCGGCAGGTCGGACCAATTGATAGAGAACACAACCAAAAAAGAGAAAGAAAGTATGGAAGAGATACTCTGATATATGTATATTGCTGTATGAATAAGGAAATGTGAAAGATTGCACTAGCAACAGTAAACGAAGAACAAAAGATAGTAACTCAGGAGAGCACCACGCTCCCATTCCCAAGCCACAATGGCTGCTAGATCAAAATGAATATTCTCTGCCTTTCCCTGATTCCTTCCTCTCACCTATAACCAACTCCCCTACCTCCCATCTTTAGTGGGCCCCAAAACAACCCACTCAGCCTAACTGACTAGTCCTCCCTTTTTAAACACGTGTCACCCTTTTACCTCTCCTGGAGTATACTTTCCAGGTCTTCTCTCCCTCACGTATCTGCTGCCCGGGTATCTCACTGTTAGCTGGGCTCACGAATGTATGGGCCGTATTAGAGGTCCACTGTTCCCGTCCCCATTTCCCACCTTAAGGAAACCACTCTGTTCCCATTCTCCAATTCCACACAAGTCAACAGCAGAATCTCCAACATTGTAAAATTTTGAGATTGGCAAGTACTTTGAGGGGCATGTGTGAAACATACTTGTGCACACACGCAGCCCAAAAATATGAATTTAAGCTTACTATACAAGTATCAATATTGGATACAGATATGATACAAAACTACAAATGCATCCCCACTTTTGGAATACCTGTGCGTCACAGCTTAGGACCAAGACCTAGAAATATACAAGATAACTTCCTTTCGCAACTACTTATTCTTGACAAAACAGATGCAATCAACTCTATTCAATTCTTTCTCAATCTAACACCGGTTTGTTTGAAACTTCTTAATTGATTATTTACATCAAGAACTATGAGATCCCATACCTATATACACACGGTGCCTCTCATGGCATCACACCTTCAGTCACACTGAATTCTCAGAACACTTGTGATGAGACTGATGACTATTATTCTATTTCTGTTACACTGCTTGCAAAGTCTATCATGTCAGAAGCCATCATACTTTACATGGTAATAACAATTATGATCACTCACGATGAGGGAAGTGGAGGGGAAGTGAGGAGGCAAAGATTCCTCCTCTTCTATTTTTGGCTCCTTACCAAAATTCTGAGGACTTGGGAGGGGAGGCATAATGCTTTATATTGAACCGTGCTGACAAAATTATCCTGAGATTTTATTTTTCCTCCCATCCCCTCCATTAATACTTGAAAGGGTTTAACTGACCCAAATAAAAAAACAACCATAAATCATTTTGTTTGAGAAATAGAAAGAATCAAGAAGAAATTGAAACAATCTCACAACTTCATACTTCTTAACATCAACAATTCATGGCCATAAAAAATAAGGGAAGTGTGAGAGCATCAAAAAGAGAGAAAAGAGAGAGTACCATTCATGGTAACATTTCAGGCACATGACATGGTTGCAGTCAGGCAACACAATCTTACTATTCATTTCCATGCATATTCCACATTCTTCTTCTCTTTCAATGTCTATGTCTGAAAATTGTCCGTGTTCCTCATCATCTCTTTTACAATACCTCTCCATGCATACAGCCTTCTGTTTTTTATCCTCTGTATCAGTTATACCCTTTTGCAGTTGCAATAAAGAGGGATAGATTACAGCTGATCAACACAAAAAAATCGATACATCGGAAATTCATATACTGTAATGCAAACCAACTCATTATCATATATATTTACGAAACAAAGGCAGATATACCATAGAATTCCCTAATACTTGCTTTTCTTTCATGAGTTGACATGGTAGTTGTCCCATCCACATACACCTGCAGCATGAGGCAAATTTGTCAACTGTCACCTTGACCAAGTTTCTCAGTTCAATTTGAACATTCAAAAACCCAAACACATTACCTTGTAAATTAGGATTCTTAACAGTCCAAGAGCTCCTGCAAGATTGCAATCTGTCCATTGCACCAAAAAGAGAAAGAGGTGCGCTGCTGGACTGTATGACATTCTCATCTGAAGGCACGCTCCATCATATTCCATTGGAAAATCGGACGCCCTACACATTCAATTGCACGATGAAGGGATAACTTTATGCTGATAACTTATAAGAATGGTTGGACCAAGGAAGAAAAGGCATTTTTCCAAGGAACGCCATTCAGAAGAAATCTGTTATCTGTGGCTCCTCTAGACAAATTTTACTAAAGGCTCATCACAGAAACAACAAACTTCAAAACACTGAACCCAAAAAAAAAATAAACCAGGTAGCCTGACACTGTAACTGAGAAAGATAATGCATTGTGTAACAGAGATCAGGGAGCAACAAATTGATATCAAAATCATCATGCAGATGCAGTATACACTAACAGCCAAATCGCTAAGGGGACCATTCAACCCCTGCCAACAGGTGACAAGTTCACGCATACCATCCAAGGAGAAAAATACTGTACACACAAAACAAAAGTCCAGATAAATGAAATTATGAAAACAATAACAAAATCTTGTCCTCATAACCACATTATCCAGCTTTAATGGAAGCCAAAATAAGCAAAGTTTTGGAGATAAGATACACGATGAAACAGTAAAATACAGTCATTTACAAAATAAAAAACCCGAACTTATATTATGTCACTAGTAGTAAGCAAACAGGTGGAAGTCAGATGAAAATTTCCACCAAAGCTTTTGGGTCTGGCTCTCGGAAGATAAGGTACAGTGAATGGAGTGGATGATAAAAGAAAATTGAGAATTACTTGAACCATGATTCCATGAATTTACAGCAAATTAAATGCATCATATTCATGAAACAAATTTGATGGTTGACTGAAGAGGAAAAGCACATACATTGGAACAAAAATCAAGGGCTCAAGCCCAGAAAATCATTCCCAAACCAAAATAAATTTCACTCATGATCCAATTCAAAAAATAAAACAAAATCTTTCTAAAAAAAAAAGGAAATAAATGAAGGGTGTCTGAGTCTAACAGTCAACAACACAAACAAAAATTGACCAAAAGAATGATTTTTCCAAAATGGGTATGAAAGAAAAAAAAGAATGATGAAAGAGAGAGAGAAACTGACAGGGTATTAGCGTGGTGAATATCTGCTTCAAGCAGTTTCAAGGAGTCCTTGAAAGACCTTCCCATGGAACCTATGTACATAACTCTCTCTCTCTCCCTCTAACAGACGATAAACAATGATCTAAACTCTAAACCCAACTCCAAAACCCACACCAAAGTTTCATGCTGTCTCTCTCTCTCTCTCTCTCTGGAGTCTAGGAGTAGCAGTTGCAGTTTCCTGTCACACACTCTTCTTCAAAGCCATCACCAAGAGCTTTTGGTTGGACACGTGGCGTGGCGACCTCAAACATTATTATTTTAGTATAAATTATAAATTTCATTATTTGACATCCTATAATTATATATTTAACATTGTATTTATCTCTTCTTTATTTTTTATTTTAAAATATATACATATATATAATGAATAAGAATAGAAACAAACTCTTTTGTAACACAATTTTAATTATTAATAATAATTGTATTAGAAAACATAACACTAACATTTTTCTGTGTAAACAAAAATTTTATTGGGACCCGGATGAAACATTTTCCGTATTTTATTGTAACTATTATTACTAATTATTAATTGAATTTGAATATTAAAAGGAGAGAGAGTAAAGATGATTACTGATTCCGTGGATGAATATGTGAGGACAGTCTTATCCACTTCACCTTATTTTTAGGCTTTGATAGCTTTCCCTCCACGCCCCGCTGATGGCTACGCGTCCACTCCCTCCCTGGCTCCCTCTTTCCCCTGCCTATAAGCATCTATTTACACTTTTGCCATCATTTCCTTTTTCTTAATCTTTTATTGTATGTTAAAATCAACTATTAAGTACGGATAATAATGGCTCTAATTTAGATAAGTTATTGTGACATATTCATGTGAATTATTACTCATTGAGTAATTATATATCTGAATCCGGATTTATTATCCATCCTTTAATTAGCTTAAACATGGTCTATTAATATACCAAAAAAGTTAAATAATTGTAAAATAAATTAAAATATTTTTTAAATATTAAAATTATTTGGGTATTTATTTTAATTTTTTTAATACAGTTATTCAATGATTTTTTGTTTTAAATTATTTGTTTTAAATATTTGATATTTTTAAAATCATTGAAACAGGCTCGCTATTTATATGTTTCATCACATGAACATCAATATTGAGTTCTAACCTTTTAATTTAACTAATCTTAAATAAAATAAAAGGGTTAAAATTAAAATTTATTATTTTTTAACATCTTTCTCTAGGGCATATTTGGAAGCCTATCTGTTTGAAAGGTCGCAATTGGCGTCTGATGTCTTTTTTATTAACTGCTTGCTCTTCATTTCAACTGTTCGTCGTTTTGGATATTTCGATTATGTTCGTCGTTTTGTAAGTAATTGTTTTATATGTTTTATATTTATTCGTTTCATTTTCTCTCCTCGAAAAAATTATAAAAAAATTATTGAAACAGTCGTATTAATACAAATTTAAATTAAATTATTATGTTATTTTTATGGGGTAAAATAAAATACGCTTTTATTATGCACTTTTTTAAAACAAGTATAATATCATTGTCCAAGAATAGTTCTATAATTGTTATTTTAATACATGTGAAACAATGCTCGTAAGGAATATTAACAAGTATTATAATTTATAACATGAATAATTGTTTTGGACATTTAAATTATTATTTGTTCGCCGGACATGGTTAAAACACGCCAATCATTCATATACCGTTTTCGAACACGCACCACAGAATGTTCTTAAGAGATAAATAAACACAATTTAATTGGAAATAATGAACCAAATCTAAACATGCTATGTTTACTAAATGAAAAAAAATAATGCTTCTACAACAAATTAGTCACGTAGATGATATAGAACAAGAGAAAGTACAAAACTCTTAATTAACTATTAATTTGATAAATTATTCAATAGATATTGACTGAACTCTAAGTATGTTATAATTTTATTTTATTTTATTTTTTAATAAAATATGTTTTAAGTTTCTAACTATTCATATTTTATATTTTTAATTATTGTAATTATTTTATTTTTTTAAGCTTGGACATGACATGATAAAAGATTTAGAGTAGTTAGGTAAAAAATTAGATTAAATCATGTCAGACCTCACTCTAAATAGGTTAATTCTGTAGCATAATTATTGAACTTGAATTTGGCCTATTATCTATAAAGATCTTATTTTTTACATGACTTGACCTGTTTGAATGGCTTACCTTAACCTAAAGTCTATTAATAAAGTATACTACAAAAAAATTTCTTAATAGACCATCAGGCTTAAGCCTGTAAACATGCCTTTAAATACTAATATTTGAATAATAATAATATTATATATATATATAATATATATATATATAAATAAGTCGGTCTATGAAGCTTAACAGGCTTTGGAAACAGCTCATACCTGACTTATTTAATTAAATAGACTTTAAAAAAAAATTTAAGTCTTATTTATTTATTAAAAAGATCAAGTCATGTTACAAGTCCCTATTAGACCGCCTGACTCTAAGAGTAGTTTTTTCCTCCACTTTAAACAAAGTAGGGATAACATAAAGATAAGTTAAATATAATATGTTTAGATTTATATAAAAATATTTATAAATTTATATTTATTTTAATAATATTAATTATAATTTTTATCTTTATAATTTTTTTAAGGTGAATCCAAAACTAGAGTATATATCCTAATGAGATGAGTCTCACCTAATTAGCTGGGTTATTTTAAAACCTCTCACTTATCTTACGTCAATAAGAATGATTTCAATCACCTAATCAAGAGACTAATGCCTATGAAAGAAGGAAAACAAGATGACCTCTTGAAATAGATATTCCAACATCTCATGTTATTTTCTCAAAATTTCTTTGCTTTCAAATATTTAAGATTTAATTAAATATTTAATCTCTTAAATAATTATACAATTAATACTTACGAGATGAATTAGTTTAGGATTTCATAAGATTTTAAAAGATTTATTTTAAGTAAAAAAGTTTGTTGTTATTTAATCAGGATTTTATGTCACTTAAAAATAATCTAGTAGTATTTAATCTAGATTTTCAAGATTTTTTAAATAGTCCATTAAAATCCATTGTTATTCATTTAAAAAATTTTACAACTTAAAAACAATCCATTGGTATTAAAAAATATAAGGATTTTAAAGGATTATTGTATTAGAGAGATTTTGAAAAACTTTTTAGTAGTATCTATAAATACTAAATTCATAAAACAATCTCATCTAAATCCATCAGATTTTAGAGGATTGTTTGAAGTGACTTTTCAAGTGCTTTAAGAATTTTTAAGTAAGTTTTTCATCTCTTTTTTTTTATACTCTTGTCTTCTCTGTTTTTCTTTTCTCTGCTAATAATACTGCATTGCATTACTGCTAGATAATACTATACTACTGCTCCCATTCCATTCTCCTATTTGATGACAACGTAAATAATAGTGTCATTGACTTTGTTTCTCAGATATATAACACAAAACACTTGAAATTTTAACTTTTAAGTATTAATTTTTTTCTAACATGCGTCAAGAAAGAAAAAGGTGAAAGCTTAAATTAATATCATAATCTTTACAATCAAATGTAGATTTTCAAATAGTTAACTAGCACCTTTAACTGTTGAGCTTGGGATATTTGTCTATACCATATAACATTTTTTTAATTGAATAAATGGATGTTTAAATATTTAAAATATAGAAGTAATAATGTGTGTATATATATATATATATAGCAATTAAGCCTTTTACGAGGCTATAGTATTGTTTTTAATTATATAGGTACCTATTAGGTGAAATATAAATTTAATAAGTATTCTTATCCATAATAATTTATATAACTAGTTTTCAACATATATTATTTTAGTAATTCAAATGGGAGATTCACAAGGAAATAATAAAGGAAAGGAAATAAAAGAAAGAAAATTATGAAGTTTAGACCAAGAAGGATTTCGATGAATTGTTACAGCTGATAGTGGATGCTATAAAAAATAGATTGCATGATGCTAATGAGTCAATTAGCAAACTAAATATGAAGAGAGTCATCATTCCTCCTCTCAATACTAAATTAAATTTTCTAAAACGTATAATCATTACTTGAGTCGAATGAAGTGGTTTAAAAAATAAATAACAATATGTCAAACACTTATGCGCAACAATTCTGCTTTTGGGTGAGACTTAATTTCAAAGACATTCACCTCTAGTGATGAAATATGTAAAGAGTACTTAAAGGTGAGATTACTTCGTAATCTTTTAAATATATTAATAGTTTATAAGTTTAGTGCATTATATTATTTTCAATATATTAATAATAAATTTTTTTTCTAGTCTCACCCAAGTCACAAAAATCTTTGAGAAAAAAGTATGGTTGATTATAAGGATTTGAAGATTATTGTTGGGAGTGGAATTGCTAGTGGGCACACTTGCATGTCAGTAGGCCCTAATGATATTGATGCTACAACTTTTGGAGAAGAAAATGTTGATTTTGAGATGAAAAACTTTTCATATGATCTTAACAATGATATACTCATAGCACGAGATCACTATGACCACCTTACTAGCATCCACCTCACCCAAACATTTTATCACCTCAACCCTTTTAGGCTCAGAGGCTACTAAATGATGATATAATAAGAAGGAATAGACTTAAAGTGGCTTAAGGTAAATGCTTATTTTTTAAATAATAATAATAATAATATTATTATTATTATTATAATACTAATATTATATATATTGCATATGTAATTAGGTAAATATTTCTTTGTGGATTGTGAATTTTTTAACTGACACCAATTTTTAGCTTCATTTTGAGGTATAAAATATCATCTATAAGATTTTGCAGGTTAGGGTAATAATCTTGAAAATGAGAAAGAATTGTTCAATCTTCGTTCATGCGTCTTTAAGGAATGTGATCGAAAGAATATTTGGTATTTTTAAATCAAGATTCACAATTTTTAAGTCAACACTTCCATTTTATTTAAGACACAAGTAGAACTTGTTTTAGCATATGCAACACTACATAACTTTCTTCGTATAGAATATCGTTTTGATGAATTTTCAATTGAACTGATAGACTAACCTTCATCTTCAATATTACCGGTTAATAAATATCTCAATTTGACGCCTAATTCAAACCCAAGAGCAAGAGCGAGAAGACGCTAATGCTTAGAGGACTAGTATAGTTATGAATATATAGGTAAATACTATTTAAGAGGACATGATATTACGGAGAATTATTATTATTATTATTTATCCAGACATTATTTTTTATTATTTTTTTCTTTAACTC